CTCTCTCCCTCTCTCCCTCTCTCTCTCCCTCCCTCCAGCTGTCTGTGATTCTTCTCTGCTCTTATTCTAATTTTGTGACCCAGATCTACTTTTGTTTCCTTTCTTCTGATGTCCATTCGTATAACAACTAGTATTCGGGAACAATGACAGCAACTCTAGATCCCTTAGAATTTAGTGGTATCAAATTTCATTCAATCTGTAAAGTAGCAGTTGGTCTCAGGAGCATCTTCTCGCCCTCCATTCTGCCAATGCTGCCACAAGCTTTCCTTGTTCTACCACTCTGCTCCATGCCAACAAAACAGGTGCTTCCTGTACGTGCTGGGATGCCATGAGTAAGACAGGGCAGGTGCACCACCTGGGGAGCACAGTATTATGTCATTGAGTATCTCCCCCTCCTCTGCAATGACTCAGACCAAGCCAAAACATTAATATGTGAAGGAGTCGTGCCAGCATCCGGCTGCTCTAGCCCCACCCACCCCTAAGGCTCTCGAACCTCATTTGCTGCTGTGGCCACAGTGTCATTTGACGATCAGGTTGCCATGACAGCCCAGTGTAGCTGGTTTCCAGTGAAACCTGCCTATACTTGGCAATCAGACACACAATAAGCAAAATTCTCTGAGCTTCTGAAAAGACAGCCTCTCAGGAACTGAAAGCTTGAATGCCGCTGAGAGCACCTCCCACTCCAGGCTAATGGCTTTCTTCTCTAACTGCAGATTAACTGCAAGAAGAACATAAAAGGGAAAACTGGAACAGTTCCTAGAATAAAAGCTTTCAGGGGCCTGACTCACCAGCAGACATATTTAAATGCGGGATGTGAGGGCAAAACAAAGTTGGTGCTCCTGGGAAACTGAGAAGCCTGAGGACCAACGTGAACTTTTCTATAAGGTTTCCATAATGTTTTGGGAGCCTCTTCCTGAGAGAAATGGTGAGGCTAGGCCCCATCGGCCAGTAATCACCAACCCCAAAGCCTACCTTCAAGAACAGCGGCACTGGAAAAGGACGCGGGCTGCAGAAACGTTCCTACCATTTTGATTCTCAGTTTATCTGCTTTTAAAGAGTCCACACTCCCCAGATGTGCTCGCTTTCTTGCTTCACACCAAGCCGGCAGATCCATCTCCCTCTTGGGGCTCCCGCCACCCCCCAGCCAGCTGATCCATTTCCCTTCTGAGGAAGAGAGCCAGTGAAAGGTGTGTCTCAGGTTCAGCTGCCCTCACAGGCCAGGACCTAAACTGTTCAGAACCAAAAGTCCTGATGTGAGCGGTCACCCTGGGGGAGGGCTGGCAAGAGGTGCCAGTATGAGTCTAAGAAATGGAGCAGTTAATTATTCAAGTCAAAAGTAGGTGACTTTAAAAGGGAGCCAGCCAACCCCTTAATCCCTTGGCCACAAGGCAAGCAGGTCTGTAGATAAAAATTCCTCACAAAAGAGAGCGCCACCGCCATTTCTGAGCTTGTCTAAAACAATCAAAAGGTAGAAAGTGACACCCCTCGCAGCATATCTTAAGCATAACACAGACTCTGAGATCCCTGCCAACCAAGACAAGGCCATCACAGGCTAAGAGTTCTCCCCCGTGCTTAATCCTAAATGACTGCAAAAGTTGTTGCATCAAAGGTCCCTCCCACTTAGCAAAGGAAAAACTGAACATTTATTTCTTAAACATAGCAATTCACTTCAACAAATATCTTTTAGGAACCTACACTGTGCCAGACATGGGGCAGAATCTCCTTCTTTAGTTGGTTTTTATCCTGAGAAAGGAGAAAAGCGTCAAAATAACGGAAGCGCAGGAGGTGAAAAAGGTCACTCCTGCTGCAGGCAGGAGAAATCTCAGCCAGGCGGCACCTTCGGTTCTAATCCTGAGAACTTAACTGGTCCCATCAAAAACTACTTTCTTAGGGGAAAGTGAGACAGTGCAGGGCAAAGTTTCAGACGGATTTGGGGTGAAATATCACCTTTCCCCCTCCTTAACTGTTTAACCCTGGGCACATTTCTTAACGTTTCTGTACCCCAGTTTCCTCATCTATGAAAGGGGGGTACCACCACTTACCTTGGCTCTTATGAAGATTAGATGAGATAACCCACGCTCAGGGCATGAGATGGACAGAAGGCCCTGGCACTCAACAGACCCGCAGACCCAAGAGAGGCACCGGCCTCTGCACCGAGACTCCAGCCTCTCCTCTGACCATTCCCTTCCTCCCAGACCCAAAGGCCCTCTGCCCGCCAAGGCAAGGGGTCTGACCTTCGGGCCTGCCCAGCTTCAGGATGTTGGGTTCAACTTTGAATGTTCACTCTGTTGCCCGCTTAGCTCAGTCCTCTCTGCGTTGTTCAGATATACTAAGACATAAGACACACTGTAATCGTTTGTCCCTTCCTTTCAAATGGCTTTCTGGGGGAAAAGTGACAAATCTAGGACAAGTCTTCGATTGCATTCAACCTTCCTTCCCCAAATGGCCAGAGTGAAGTGGTCAGTAGGGTAATAAAGCTTTTACAATGACCGCAGAAAGGTTCTGGACTGAAGACTTGGGTTCCTCATTGCCTAACCCTTTTCCCCAGTCCCCAATACCGAACTGATTGATTTAAAAGTCTCTCTTCTTCCCCACACTTCAGTTTTTTTTTCCAGGAAAATGTTCCTAGACCAGCCCCTGAAGTAAGAGGTCCTCTGGAGGTTGCCATTACCTTAGGAAACTGCTCTGCAGGTCCGACCACCAGCAAAATAGTGGGTCTCTTTTCCGTGGCCTCAGCCCTTCCATCCTGTTTCCCCAAAAAGCTTGCCATCTGGTCTCCCCGAGCAGCAGCTGGGGTGCCTCTGACTTCGTTATCATTCCCCTCTTCGGAGCCTTGGCACCCAGCCCTAGGGAAAAGGCTAGACAGAAAATGCCACAGCATCTGCAACATCACGGCTTTCTCCCAACGTCGCCGATGGTGACTGGTCACTTTTGAAGCAGGATGTGACCACAATACCAAGGGTCACTGGCTACACCGCTGCTTGGAAGGCTAGCCTGGGGAGTTGTAAGGCTCCAAGCTCTGCATGCAGTGGCTGTGTCCTGCTCTTTCAAATTTACTAGCACTGCTGTCGTGCCTGGCCTGAGAAATAGCTCACTCTAAGAGAGTCCCGCTGGGTTGCTGGCAATGAGGAGAGAGCAGCCAGAGCTTCTTCAAGAAAAACTCACTTCTGCAGGTAGATGGTGATCAAATGTTTGGCTTTTTTAAAAAAGAAAAGCAATAGCCCAACAGACCTTTCCCAGAGGCAGAAGCAACTTCGAGCTCCCAATTATTCAACTGTCCTCGCTCAACTAATGATCATCACACAAGCGAGACCCGAGCATCCAGTCTGCATTCTCACTGCAGCAGGGCACGGCCAATCGCCTCAGCCGACACTACCAAGTTCATTATCCCCAACCAGCAACGTCCAATCACAGGCGGCTGATTCCCTGCCTGCAGCCCTGCACTTCTGCAGGGAGGTGCCGATGGCAACGTCCAGAGGAGCTTCCAGGCTCACTGAATCCACCCTCTGCTGGCTCGTCTGCAGGAGCCCAACTTCTTCCTCTCCACAGGGATTGTTTCTGGGATGGCATTCACCATCAAGTTTAACACGATCGAGAGTCCCTGGCAACAGTTCCTAATACTCTTTTCCTTGTTCTATGATCCCATTTGCTCCAATTATGTGTAACACAACGCAAGCCATATCACACCTACTTCTCCTGCCTTGTCTCCCGATACACCGTGAGCTGCTGGGGGACAGGGACCAAGTGACAGGTCTCTACCCTTAGTACCCAGAACTAGGCACAAATTAAGTCTGTGGGCTGAACTGAGTAAATGGTTATAAATAAAAGGGACTTAATCTTTGCTCATTTGTTTCTTAATTTACTAGCATTCAAATGCAGGGACCAACTACCATCATCCCTCACAAAGGTGACCCTTTGATACGTGTTCATAACCATTATTCTAAAAACAAAAACATGAGAAAAGTTTCATAAATTGTGTCAGGAAGAGTATGGGGAACCGTACAGCCTCATAAGCTGCTATGAGAGTATACGTCAGGACCACCTTTCTGAAGAGTAATTTAGTCTTAGCTACCAACAGTTCAAAAGCACAAACCTTTAACAGCAATTCCACAGTAAGCAATTTAATCTGTAGATACATTTGCACACGTGAGAAATTATATGTACATACGTATGAGATATATATATATATATATATATATATATATATATATATGATATACATGTTATCTAATCTAAGGATATTTTTTGCACCACTGTTTATAACAACACAAGTTTGGAATCAACTTAGTCCTTTAAAAGGGGAGTGGGTACATAAATTATGGCACACACATACTATGGAACCCTACGAGTATGCAGCTGTTGAAAACAAGGCAGCTCTATATGCACTACTGTAAAAAATAATTATAAGATAAATGGAGCCACTTCAAAGAGGAACTGCCTTGTAGGCCTTACCCCTCAAACCTTTGGAACGTTAAAACTGGGCAAAACAGTCTTTGGACTGGGCCTAAAGCAGTACTGTAATTCATGTAATTATTCCCCTTCCTTTTCTCATGAATACCCCTTGCTTTTTTTTAATCTTCTAATCAGAACACTATTTGGGTTTCTGCCTGAATCAGTGCTTCCTGATTAGCTATTCTTTTGGATCTCAAATAAACACTTGTTGCCTCTCACTCTGACCTTTTATTTATAGGTTAACACTACTATGGAATGACTTAAAAATATCTTGTTAAATGAAAAGAGCAAGGTTCAGAAGAAAGGGGATAGATAGTATGCTGTCATTTATTTCTAAGCTTGTATACGCGAAGAGTATCTAGGGAAAGACACTAAAATTGAAGAAATGGCTTGGTGCAAGGAAGGCACCTGGGGGGTTTGAGGGGCCAAAGGCAGCCGGGAGGTTTCCTTTCACTGAATGGATATTCATAGCTTGTGAAACTGAACCATGAGCATGTATGACCATACATACATACAACAATTATTTGAAAAGAAAACACAAGTGGGGATAGCAAGACAGCCAAGCTAAGAATGACCTTATTTAGATGCCGTTTTGTGTGTTGATTAAATGTACAGTCTTTGGAGCCAGACCCCAGGTTCCAGTCCTGGCCATGACTTACTAGCTGTGTGATCTTGGTCAAATTACTCTAGCTCTCTGTGCTTTAATGTCCTTATGTACAAAATGGGAATAGTAACAGAACCACATTGTTACTTCATAGAATTGGTTCAAGACTAAATTAGATAATATATAAAGTTCTAAGAACAGTATATAGAGCACTCGATAACTGGGGCTATGTAATAAAAGGGGGCTATGTAATAAAACTGACAATCTCAGTGACCAAAAGTAATTACACAAAATGTAATTTTTTTTTAACATAAAATCTCCTAACTGGGCAGGAACATCCCAGGCCTACAGCTTCCTCAGCAAAGGTCAGTCTTACCTTAAATGAGTCTGTCCACTGTTCTTATGCATCTAAGCCAGGGGTCGGCAAACTGTGGCTCACGAGCCACATGAGGCTCTTCGGGTACATTGCGTCTCAAAAGTTTGCCGACCCCTGGAAGAGCCAATCCTGTCCCTCACAGCAATTTAAAAATTATTCGAGAGCTATAAATGTATGTTTACAAATAAGGAAAATTTAAAGTAATATTATAAATGAAACTATGACAGTTTTATTTTCATTTTCAATTTTACTTCAAAGCCACATGTATGTCCCCAAAAAACTGCATGTGGCTCGCAAGCCGCAGTTTGCTGACACCTGGCAGCTCTTCCATCTCAAAAGTTTGCCGATCCCTGATCTAAGATAACATACCTTTGAAATGTCAACGTAATTTTCTTTTCTAGACTCCCTGAAGGCACAATCACTGGTGCCAGAGCACAGACCACAGAAGCCCTCCATTGTTCTCTTGCTGCCCATAAACCATCTCTATGTGCTGTAAAGGTTAATTATTAACTCTCCTGTACCCACCAATGTAAAAGAAGTGTGTGTTTCTTCAGTTTGCTTTTTATCCAATCCTAGAGATTTCCCCACTTTGCTTTCTCCTGCCCCCTTAATCTACCATCAACGGATTTCACGTGACACTCTTTTGGTCTTCTCCTTTGATTCCAATGTATAAAATAAGATGCAAATCTGCCATTCTTAGGAGCATTTTCTCAATCTGCTGAGCTCTTGCTTCTGGGCATGTCCTCAAAAATTTGGCTCAAGGGCCAGCTGAGGGGCACAATGGTTAAGAACTGGCTTGGGACGCCAGAGGGCCCCGGTTCGGATCCCACATGTAAGTGCCAGTGACACTGCCCTCCACAGCTAAGATGCTGAACAACAGCTCGACCTGGAGCTGGGCTGCTGTGAGTCGCCGGCAACAGCGTAGGCTGCAGCCCCTGTGGCAGTGGGCTGCCATGGGCTACCGTATGTAGCCAGCAGCCAGTGTGAGCGGCCAGCAGCCTGCGTGAGCGGCCGTCCAGAAGCCGGTGATTGATGTGCCTCGCCTAGGAAGAGCACAATGATGGTGCCAACTTGGGCCAGCGAAGCAACGTCCACAACTAGATCGAAGAACAAAAGGACAGCAACTTGTCTGTTCTCCTTCCCCTAATTCCACAATAAAAAATCTTAAAAAAAAAAAAAACTTTGGCTCAAATTAACTGTTTTAAAATTTTTCTGTAGGTTTGGATGTTCTTTTGGCGACATGACTATTAGCTATTTTATTATCATTATCTAGAAAAGGATAGTGAGTTCATGCAACTAAAATTAATTTTTTGTTTTGTTTTCAAATTGGGCACTGTCCCAATTATCCTTTATTTACAGTCTGCCCTTTAACCTGGTAATCTTTTTATTTTTACTTTTTCTTCAATTTATTAGTGTCTTAGTCAGTGAACTCGAGCTAGCAACTCAGGTCCACTGAAAACCTGGAAAGATCAAAAAGCACTGGGTGGGGAGAGGGGCGCTTTGCAACTAAGTATTGTAGTTTTAATAGTGTAAAGAGAAAGCCACAGCCCCAAAATGGCATCACTTGTGCTAAAAGCCCATGATACCAAACCTAGATTTAATATCTGCTCTAATTGCAGTTTCAGCGTCTACCAGAAACATAATCTTAGTCAACCAGTCTGGAATTTTCTTGTCAAGCACCAGTAACATTCTGTCACAGTGGGCCCTCTCCATCCCGCTCAGAAAAAAGCAGCAAGAGGTAATCTGCATGGTAAAAACCCTTGCCATTCCCTTCCTCAGGAAAGATGACGTCCTGGTCCCAAAATAATCCTTTTTCTTTTGTTAATAGCTCCCTTTCCTCACCCTTCTTCCTATAAAAACCTTGCATTTTGTACAACCCCTCGGAGTGCCCTTCTAATTGCGAGGTGGTATGCTGTCCAATCCATGAATTGCTTAATAAAGTCAATTAGATCTCTAAATTTACTCGGTTGATTTTTGTTTTTTAACAATACTAAAGAAGAGCCCATCCAGAGCCCCAAACCCTAACTAAATAAGTAATCCTTTTATGAAAATGAATCTTGTTTTTAGGCACTGAAAGTCTGGTAAATGGGAGGAGGCAGTCATGTTTTGGGTCCTCATCTACAAACATAAGAGAAATCCCATATTTAGCTGGTCACTAACTAGCTTTTAATTTAATGGACTCCTACATACCACAGAACTGAGTTATGAATTCAGGGGGTTCAGCCAAGATGGAATAACAGGGACCAACTCACCTTCCTGCCAATAACAATTAAACATCCAGACCAAATATTTGAAACGATGGTTTTTAAGACATTGGCTAAGAAAGGACAGTGACTCCTGGGAGATCTATACAAATGAGCCGAGCCCTATGATTGCCCTAGCTTCCTGGTTGGAGTTTCCAGGCTACGGTGTACAGGGTGGGTACTCAGGCAGAGCCCAACAGTCTCTCAGGGTTGAAGAGATAAAGCTGGGAGGCCAGGGCAGCTGGAGTTTGCAGGACCCAGTACCAGACAGGAGGGAGCTGCAATGCTGAGGGGCCCCCATAGCCACAGCACAGGCACACGAGGAAAGTGCCTGAGGGTGAGAAAAGAACCATCCGAAGGCATCACCACACTAAGAACTGCTCCTGTTCCCACCAGCTGGAGTGGAAACCTCCTAATATAGGGAGGTTCAGGAAGGGTATCAGAGGGTGGTTGCCTCAACAGTGAGGCAAAACTAGCCCTACACTAAAGGCCATTCTTGCCTAACAAGGCTTTAAAAAGCCCTAAAAGGCTCAGCATGTTTCAAAACAACTATACCCCAGAATAATGCTCAAGAGCATTTATAGGAATACAGAACTCTCCAGGAACCAAAAAGATAAAAATTTAACAGGAATGCAAGGAAGCAGGAAAAG